GACCTCCAGACAGGACAGGTGCCTTTCTCTCAAGGGCTGGGAAGCCTGTGACCATGGCCTCCGGCCCTCTGCTATCTGGGTGGCCTGAGCGTGTGCCCTTTCACGACTCTGAAGCCTCACGTAACAATTCACAGCCATTCACCCATGATGACAGCACCAGATGAGGGCCAGTCATGACTCACTGCTGAGTTCCAGTGCCTCCTTCATTCTTGACCTTTGCTGGAAAATTAAAGGCTACGAGGATTAATTCTTTTTTCTTTAACTGTTCACACGTAAGACGCGAACAGGAGCCACAGAGAAGACTGTGGAGGGGTTTGTAAGTTTGTTCTTGGCTAGGCCACACACTGACCGCAAAGGCGGATTCCGCAACAACAGCGACCAGAGGTCTCTGCAGGAACGGCGGACTCCGGGGCTGGAGCAAGATGCCAGATGGTGCTGAAATGGCTTTGGTGCCACAAAGTCAGGGGGTACTCAGAGAATGTGGGGGTCACACTGAGAGGGCCAGGAGCCACCCAGAGAGGCTGCTGAGGGCCAGCCTCAAACAACTTGAGCAACAAATAGGAACAGATTACAACCCGCAGAACACAACAAACATCCATGAGTCTATATTAATATAACTGAATAAGCAAATGGAAGGCAAACTGGTTCCTTATAGGGAATTCCAATCAATGTAAAAGGACTGATTGAAAAATACTAATAATAAATAAAACCCACAGTAATAATTGTTTCAAGCAAGACTCATCCATGGATGCTACAACAGACGAGAGAAAGAACGACAAGAAACAGGTTTAGTTTCAAAGCATCTCCCCAAAAGATAGTTATCAATTACTCAAGCTCTTGTTTCCATCCCCAACTTGTCTTCACAGCACCTGTTCCCTTAAAGGGTTAATCAAACGACCTGCTGGGGCCCTGGGCAACTGCAGAAACTCCTACCTGGAGAAGCAGTTCTGCAAAGGAGTGAGCCCACAGAGGGGAGGAAGCTCAGGGGGAAGGAGTACTTATGACGGAGGAGAGTGTGGGGGCGGTACCAGGTTTCTTGAGGCTTTTTGTTTTGCTTTGGTCTGAGAATGCCAGGTAGATTAAACTCTCTCTGTTCATCAGCTTCTAATGCCGGCCGGGGAAGGGGCTTGCCTACTTCCTCCTGTCTGTATCCCCTCTTTCTGATCTAAGGGTCTAAAGAAAGAAAAGAGAAAAAGCCAATGGCTTTCAATCCTACAGGCTCCCACATTAATGTCATGTGTACAAAGAAAAAGGGACCAAAGAGATATTTCCCAATCAGAACATCTGTACTCTAAAAGGACATGCATTCTAGTAAAATCTGGGTGTATCTGTTTATTTGCAGGGTGCCCTAACTCTGTAACACTCAACTTACATGGCCACTGTGTATCAGATTTCTTAATAATTGAGCAGTGGATCCACAC